CGCCGCCTTTATCTCCCACGGGGGTGGAAAATGAAAAGAGCCAGCCAGAGGCGCGGGCCTCTGCAACCGAGACTCCACAGATGTGCAGCACCGCATAAAAAGCAAGGGGAATCGCCACGAAAAAAAGTGGGGTCAGAATCGGGTGGGTGATCTTCTGCTTCAAAGCGCTCAGACCGACGGTCAAGGCGCCTGTGACAAGTATTTTGAGCAAGGGCGAGGGATGCATTTGGGCCCAGAGGACGGCAGGTTCCCAGCTCCAGTCGATGCCTGTGGTAATTCCTATGCCCTCGCAGACAATGAACACACCCATGCCCCCGATGCATCCCAGGACAACGTGTTGAGGAACGAAGGAGGAAATCTTCCCCAGCTTGAGGACGCCAAGGACGTAGAATGCCGCGCCGGTCAGGAGGCTGGAGAAAGAGAAGCAGAACAGGATCGTGGTCAGGGCCTCCTCGGTCCGCCCCTGGTCGTGGAGTTGGCTAGACAGGCTCGTGCTCATGGCCCGAAGGAAGGCAACGTTTTCGATGATAAAGCTCCCGAGGGCGCAGGAAAATGTGGACATGGCGCCGAATACTGCCTGGGAGACCACAGCGGAGACCAGGACAAGCTGTACCCCAAGGGGGCCCAAGTTGAAGGCCGGGGGAAACAAGAGTAGACCGTAGGGCAGATTGTCGATGATCGTGATGAAAACAGCCACTGCCACAGCGCTTGTATGGATAATTAGTTCCCCCAGGCATGTGTAAATTGCTGTTTGCCAAGTTATTCCGGGGGGCACATTATGCTTGAGCAGGCCCGCTGCCTCCTGGTCGTGTTGCTCGTCATCCTCGTCGAGCATGAAGGTGCCATAAATTCGCCGCCTGGACCCCACATTCTCCCCTGAAGCGGAAGATGACAGGACTGGCTCTAATGATTCTACGGTTGTCCCAACCGCCAGGTCCTCCATCTCCTGTTCGTCGATCGAGAGCAAAAGGGCAAAAGCGGGATGATGAATGAGAGAGGTGAAAAATGACGGTCACTACCTCTTCATGTGAAAAAGTAAAAATTGCCCGGACGCTTTGTAAAACCGGATTACACACTCCTCCAACCCTCCACACCTTCCCTCCCGCTGCATGTCCTGAAAGACGTCGGAAAGAGGTAGCTGCCTGTTGAGGAAAAACGTTCCCCCGCTTTAACCCGACTTTCTTCCCTAAAATTTCAAATTTTATGCGAGCCTCCCCCCAACACGGCTCCCTTTCCAAGCTTGTGCCTGCGTTTGCGACCCCGTCTGCGCATGCATCTTCCTGACTAAGCTGGCGAGGCAGCTTCAGATGCGCACAACACCTTGAGTGTGTTTTTTTGTTTTCCCCTCGTGGTGTCATAGTGGGGAAGTAAAGACAATTTTCGCGTGGGGGGGAGCCGGGCATGATGGTATCTTGCGGCCCTCGCTTCTCTTTTCCGTCGAGGGCTGTGTGGCCCTCAGCTGGCGACGATCGAAGAAGAAAACCGTGTAACGCGTCCGCTTCGGATGTGCGATGCTAGGATGAGGAATATTGCAAATGTTGCCAATGCAGCGATCATGTAGTTTTCTTGTGACTCGGCTCACTGTCCTCATGGCGTGTGCAGGACCCTGTTCACTGTCAGTACCCTTTCCCAGCCCTTCTATTGGTCGCTCGCCTTTTTTTTCCGTCGTAAGCAGAAGTATTCCAAAACCCACTTGACAGGCCGCATCTTCTCGATATCTAACCCAAATATAACACAGATAACCTTCTCTCCCCTGCTGCAAAAATGTCTCTCGAGGACGGCACCGAGTTTCTCTTCACCTCCGAGTCTGTGAACGAGGGCCACCCTGGTACGTTGGTCGGGCCTCTGGAGCCAAGATGCAACAGATTCCTTCCTTCTTCTCTTGATCTTCCTATTGCCCCTTGTCTCTCGCCTGGTAATTGCCACTCCTCTGTCTCGGCGGTGTCCGTATGCTTACCACAACGCGTGCCTAAATCATATGTCCCATACCCAGACAAGATTTGCGACCAAGTCTCGGACGCGATCCTGGATGCCTGCACCAAGGACGACGAGAACTCGCGCGTGGCCTGCGGTACGTGCGGGACAAGGAGCGGTGTGGAAGAAGAGGACCGAAGCCAGTGTGACTCGTCGTCATGCCACGTGGTTCGGGGGATGAGCCTCGTGCGTGCTTGTCCTCACGCATGTCTACTGCCTTCCCCATGACCCATCCCCCCGCCTCCAGAGACCTGCACCAAGACGGGCATGGTCATGATCTTCGGCGAGATTTCCACGGCGGCCACTGTCAACTATGAGCAGGTATTGCCACAAGGTCCATGGGCGTGTCGGGCCCTTGATGCCTGTCTTTTCCCTCCTCCCTCGCCCTCTTTCCTTCTCTCTCCCTACTTTCCTCCCCTACCTCCTCCTAGTCACGTGGGATGACCGGACTTAACCTACAAGAATCTCTTCATTTACCCCCTTTCTCACTCCTTGACTCCCTTCTTCCTCCTATTCCGCCCCTTTCTCCCCTCCAGGTCATCCGCGACACGATCAAGGAGATCGGCTACGACGATCCGGGCAAGGGCCTCGACTACAACACCATGAACGTGATCGTGGCGGTCGAAGAGCAATCTCCGGACATTGCCCAGTCGGTGGACTCTCGCACGGGGAACGTGGAGGACATCGGGGCAGGCGACCAAGGCATCATGTTTGGGTGCGTCCTCCATCACTTTGTCTCGCCACTTCCCCGTCCTTCCTCACTCTTTTCGCGCCAATTTTGCTGTCGTGGATTGCTTTGAGCATATCTTTTCTGGTTTCGTTTCCTTTGCGTGATTTACGTCTCCTCGTTTCTCCCTCTCTCCCTCCTTCCTTCCCTCCCTTCTTCCGTTGGCCCTTCCCCCTTCCCGCGCTTGGATCGACACTTCCTCACGCCCTCCTTCCCTCTCTCCCCTTTCCAGCTACGCCACGGACGAGACGGACGAGCTGATGCCCCTGACGCACCTGTTGGCCACCTCCATAGGCGCCCGCCTGACCGAGGTCCGTAAGAAGGGAATCCTGGACTGGGTCCGGCCGGACGGGAAGACGCAGGTTACGGTCGAGGTAAGGAGGGAGGGCGGGAGGGAGGGAGAGGTAGCCTCACGGGAGGGGAGGAAGAG